CAGTGCTCCCCTAGCCCTTGTCCGCAGCTCCGCACAGTGCTCCCCTAGCCCTTGTCCGCAGCTCCGCACAGTGCTCCCCTAGCCCTTGTCCGCAGCTCCGCACAGTGCTCCCCTACCCTTGTCCGCAGCTCCGCACAGTGCTCCCTAGCCCTTGTCCGCAGCTCCGCACAGTGCTCCCCTCCCCTTGTCCGCACAGCTCCGCACAGTGCTCCCCTAGCCCTTGTCCGCAGCTCCGCACAGTGCTCCCATAGCCCTTGTCGCCCCAGCTCCACAGTGCTCCCCTACCCCTGTCCGCAGCTCCGCACAGAGCTCCCCCTACCCCTTGTCCGCAGCTCCGCACAGTGCTCCCCTAGCCCTTGTCCGCAGCTCCGCACAGTGCTCCCCTAGCCCTTGTCCGCAGCTCCGCACAGTGCTCCCCTAGCCCTTGTCCGCAGCTCCGCACAGTGCTCCCCTAGCCCTTGTCCGCAGCTCCTCACAGTGCTCCCCTAGCCCTTGTCCGCAGCTCCGCACAGTGCTCCCCTAGCCCTTGTCCGCAGCTCGCACAGTGCTCCCCTAGCCCTTGTCCGCAGCTCCGCACAGTGCTCCCCTAGCCCTTGTCCGCAGCTCCGCACAGTGCTCCCCTAGCCCTGTCCCGCAGCATCCGCACAGAGCTCCCCTACCCCTCGTCCGCAGCTCCGCACAGAGCTCCCCTACCCCTTGTCCGCAGCATCCGCACAGAGTGCTCCCCTAGCCCTGTCCGCAGCTCCGCACAGTGCTCCCCTACCCCCTTGTCCGCAGCGAGCTCCCCTTGTCCACAGCGAGCTCCCCTGTCCGCAGCGAGCTCCCCTTGTCCGCACAGCTCCGCAGAGAGCTCCCCTTGTCCGCAGCTCCGCACAGTGCTCCCCTTGTCCTCAGCTCCGCAGAGAGCTCCCCTTGTCCGCAGCTCCGCAGCGAGCTCCCCTTGTCCGCAGCTCCGCCAGCGAGCTCCCCTGTCGCACAGTGCTCCCCTTGTACCCCTCGCTCCCCTTGTCGCACATCCGCAGAGAGCTCCCCTTGTCCGCAGCTCCGCACAGAGCTCCCCTAGCCCTTGTCCGCAGCTCCGCACAGAGCTCCCCTAGCCCTGTCCGCAGCTCCGCACAGAGCCCCCTAGCCCTTGTCCGCAGCTCCGCACAGTGCTCCCCTAGCCCTTGTCCGCAGCTCCGCAGAGTGCTCCCCTACCCCTTGTCCGCAGCTCCGCAGAGAGCTCCCCTAGCCCTTGTCCGCAGCTCCGCAGAGAGCTCCCCTAGCCCCTTGTCCGCAGCTCCGCACAGAGCTCCCCTAGCCCCCTTGTCGGCAGCTCCGCACAGTGCTCCCCTACCCCCTTGTCCCGGAACTCCGCACAGTGCTCCCCTAGCCCCTTGTCCGCAGCGACCGCACCCTTGTCCGCAGCTCCCAGTGAGCTCCCCTTGTCCCGCAGCTCCGCACAGAGCTCCCCTAGCCCCCGCAGCCTCCCCTAGCCCTTGTCCGCAGCTCCGCACAGTGCTCCCCTACCCCTCGTCCGCAGATCCGCACAGTGCTCCCCTACCCCTCGTCCGCAGATCCGCACAGTGCTCCCCTACCCCTCGTCCGCAGATCCGCACAGTGCTCCCCTACCCCTCGTCCGCAGATCCGCACAGTGCTCCCCTACCCCTCGTCCGCAGATCCGCACAGTGTCCCCTACCCCTCGTCCGCAGATCCGCACAGTGCTCCCCTACCCCTCGTCCCGCAGATCCGCACAGTGCTCCCCTACCCCTCGTCCGCAGATCCGCACAGTGCTCCCCTACCCCTCGTCCGCAGATCCGCACAGTGCTCCCCCTACCCCCCCTCGTCCGCAGATCCGCACAGTGCTCCCCTACCCCTCGTCCGCAGATCCTTACAGTGTCCCCCCCCTTGTCCACCGCAGATCCTTACAGTGCTCCCCTACCCCTCGTCCCGCAGATCCGCACAGTGCTCCCCTACCCCCGTCCGCACATCCGCACAGTGCTCCCCCCCCTCGCCCGGAACATCCGCACAGTGCTCCCCCCTACCCCTCGTCCCGCAATCCGCACAGTGCTCCCCTACCCCTCGCCCGCACATCCGCACAGTGCTCCCCCTACCCCTCGCCCGCACATCCGCACAGTGCTCCCCCCCCCTTGCCCCCAAACATCCGCACAGTGCTCCCCCCCCCCTCGCCCGCACATCCGCACAGTGCTCCCCTACCCCTCGCCCGCACATCCGCACAGTGCTCCATTACCCCTCGCCCGCACAGTGCTCTCCACACAGTGCTACCTACCTCTCCTTGTCCACGGATCCACACAGTGCTACCCCCCCTTGTCCACGGAACCGCACAGTGTCCCCCCCCTTGTCCACGGAACCGCACAGTGTCCCCCCCCTTGTCCACGGAACAGCACAGTGTCCCCCCCCCCCCCTTGTCCACGGAACAGCACAGTGTCCCCCCCCCCTTGTCCAGGGAACAGCACAGTGTCCCCCCCCCCCCTTGTCCACGGAAACAGCACAGTGTCCCCCCCTTGTCCACGGAACAGCACAGTGTCCCCCCCTTGTCCACGGAACAGCACAGTGTTCCCCCCCCCCTTGTCCACGGATCCGCACTGTGCTCCCCACCCCTTGTCCACAGATCCTCACAGTGTTCCACCCCCCCCCCACAGATCCACACAGTGCATCCCGCTTGTCCATAGATCCGCACATGTACAAGTGCTTTCTGTACCCCTATCACAGTAGTGCTAAGCTCAGTGCTGCTGTGGTGAGGGAGGGAACACATGCATGCAAGGATTCGTGGATGAGCAATACAGCAGTTCCACTCTTTAACTGTGATGAAGGGGGGCACTCAATGTACCCTCCTAACATATATGCAGGTATGCGCTGAGCACTCAGAATGCTACTTTTTTTTGGCTAGGCTAGATCATTTCAGGCTAGTCCCTTTTGCAGGTATAGCTATGTAATACATTAAAAATAAGTTCCTATACTGTTTAAAAATCCAGTAATACACTGTCTCACCCAGCTCTGCACATGCTCAGCTGCTCTCCATTTTTAGGTACTCTACTGTATTAAAAGTCAGTTGTAGAGGCTGATCTGCTGGACAGCCTAAAGATTATAGCAGAACTAAAGCTATTGATTTAAAGCGATTCTAAAGGTTCCTTTTTTTTTCTTGGGAAATTAACAAACATGGCTTTACTTACCTACTGTGTGCAGTGGTTTTGCACAGAGCAGCCAGAACCCCTCTTTTCGCTTCCCCTGCAGGCTTTCCTGACTAGTGGTGCATCGAAATGAAAATTCTGGTGCCGAAATCGAAAATTCAGGATGCACTTGGCCGAAAACTGAAACCGAAATGGACAGTTTTTAAACATTCATTTATATTTTTTAGAAAAAATATATATACCCCAGTTTTTTTTTGTAAAAGATGTTACGCGAGTAAATAGATACCTAACATGTCATGCTTTAAAATTGTGCACGCTCGTGGAATGGCATCAAACTACGGGTACTTAAAAATCTCAATGAGTTATGCTTTAAAAATTTCTACAGCTTACCAGTGTAAAGTTACAGAGGAGGTGTTTAGGCTATAATTATTGCTCTTGCTCTGACGTTTGTGGTGATACCTCACGTGTTGTTTGAACACCGTTTACACATGTGGGCATGGCCTACGTATGTGTTCCCCACTACGTGCGAGGACGGGGGCGCTTTAGACTTTTATAAAATGTATTTATTTTTTACACTGTCCTTTTTAAAAAAAAAAAAATCACTTATTCCTATAACAAGGAATGCATGCATCCCTTGTGATAGAAATAAGTAGTGACAGGTCCTCTTTATGGAGAGATATGGCGTCAATAAGACCTCTCTCGTCTACAAGGTAAAGCATTAGATCAAAAAAAAAATATTGATCTAGTACTTTTAAAAAAAAAACAAAAAACCGGAAGTGACATCGTTTCGGTCCTCCAAGGGCATAGAGTTGAGTGGAGGCCATCTTTCCTTCACTGATCTCTATGCCCAGTGCCGAGAGATCGTTCGGTGGTTTTCTCAGGTAAGTCTGAGAACTACCAAGTGGGTGGCAAGTACCTGTATCGTTGCTTATTTTCACATCAGCCAATGGCTGATAGGGGTGTTTTCGGCTGAAACGTTTCGGCCACCGAAATTTCGGTGCACCCCTACTCCTGGCCCCTCCCTCCTGTTGGGTGCCCCCACAGCAAGCAGCTTGTAATGGGGGCACCTGCTGCTCCGTGTGGCCCCGCCCCCTCTATATCCTCATTGGCTGTGATTGATAGTAGGAGCCAATGGCTTCCACTTGCTGTCTCAGCCATTGAGGAGGCAGAGACCTGGGAGAGCCAAGGCTGTCATTCACATCACTGGATCGTGATGAGGCTCAGGTAAGTATTGAGGGGGCTGGGGGCACTGCTGCACACAGAAGGTTTTTTTTTACCTTCATGCATAGAATGCGTGAAAGAAAAAACCTTCAGCCTTTACAACCAATGTAACAATTTCAAAAAACCATTACATTCCCGGCATGCCAGGAATGCTACCTGTCACATTTGCTTGTTCTCTCAACCAAACTGTCACCATCAAATGCCTGATCATATGTGCAGCACTATGGCAGTTGAAGATCAAACAGATAGCAGCTTCCTTGGCTGAAAAGGAAGGGGTTTAGTTCTGCTTTAACTGCTGTGCAGATGTATGGGCTTCAACAAAATGGCAGCCTTCAGCAAAAAAAACGGAACAATGCTGGAGGCAATTTGCAGCACACACTTATTTTGGTAGAATACTGAATAATGTGGAATGTATGTTCCTTGCTAAAGAACATTATTTTTATCATTTGTTAAGAGATAAGTTTCTCCTTTAAAGGAAGCATACAAGCTCTATGCTGTATTGTATTTTGTAAAGTACTGGGCCCCTTGACTGCCCTGCAAATGTTATTATAAAGCTACCCTTTAAACTGCTTAAGGACCACCCTATAGTAGATATTCTGCTACAGGGCGGCCCCTGTGTGCAAAATCGTGTGTATATATATATATATGTCATTTTGCATTTCCGGGTAGGGGGTGCGCGCGCCCTACCCACGCTGCCATTCGTGGCCACGAATGTCAATCACCGGGTCCCGGCTGGTGATTACCCACCGGCACCCGGTGATTAATGGTGATCACTGACAGGGTGGAGGGCTGCTTTGTTTACCAACATTCATCCTCCCTGTCAGTTTGGATACGCTGCTCTGGATGGCTGAGCACAGCCATGTAGAGCAGTGTGCTTACAGTGAAGAACACCCCCTCCCGCTCCCTAGTAAAACACTCCCATTACACAGTTAACCCTCTGATTGCCCCTCATGTTAGCCTATTCCTTCCCAGTGCCATTAGTTACAGTGTCAGTGCATTTTTTAGCACTGATCACTGTATTGGTGTCACTGGGGATGTCAGTGACACTAAGTCAGTTCCCCCCAGTGTCAGAATGCCCACTGCAGTCCCGCCATAATTCGCTGATCGCCGCCATTATTGGTATTAAAAAAAAAAAAATTCCAGTATCTATACCGCCATTTGTAAACTATAACTTTCATACAAAACAAATAATGTACACGTATTTGGGATTTTTTTTAGCAAAGACATGGAGCAGAATACATTTTTGGCCTAAATTTTATGATGAAATTTGATTTTTTTTTTAAATTTGTTTACTGGATATGTTTAATAGCAAAAAGTCCAAAATATAGTTTTTTTTTCTCAAAATGTCTGTCTTTTTTTTATAGTGCAAAAAATAGAAAACGCACAGGCAATCAAATACCCACCGAAAGAAAGTTCAATTCGTGGGAAAAAAAGGACGTAAATTTCATTTGGGTGCAGTGTTGCATGACCGCGCAATTTTCAGTTAAAGTAATGCAGCACCGAAACGCAAACCGCTTCCTGACCACCCTATAGGAGAAATACTGCTACAGGGCGGCACGTGTGCGCAAAATCACATATATACATGGTTCCTGCTCCTGTGGTTTTCACGCCCCTCCCAGATAGCATTAGATTGCCTGTTCATAAACCAGTAATCACATTTAACCCCTTGATTACCAGGAACATGTTCATACTCAATAAACCTCCATTACTAGTACAGTGTTTGAACGGATCAATATCTTTGATCAGATCAGCACTATACCAGCGTTCACATTAGTATAGTATCCCCAAAAACACAGTGTTAGCGGGATCAGCCCTGGCACTTGCCAGCATCTGCGTTTAGCCCCTACACTTACCTCTGTTACCCCCCCCCCCTCTTCTCCCCCAGCGAGTGCGGTGTCAGTAGGTCACTGTCAGTTGATACATCGCACACAAAACCGCAGTGTTGGCAGAATCAGGCCTGATCTCTGTTAGCACTTGCCGGTAAATTTTGATGACTCTCATATGCAGCAGAGTGCCAGTACTAGGGCCGCTGTACCTTTTGGTGTACTGGCGAGCACCAGCGGCCTAGTACATCCTGGTCTTTCACATACCAGCACTGCAGTATCACTTGGTGACGTGGCGAGTCCCATAAGTGCAGTACAAGCTGGTGCGGTGGCGAGCACAAGTATTGTCCCGCAACCACCAAGAATTCTCACACAGGCCCGTAGAGCCCCTAGTATATTTCCAGATAAGCTTGCAAATTCCGATTGCCCGCCCACAAATTCTGCAGCACCCGTATTTCCCCCATTCAATGTCCAACCTGGAATTCGGGTGGAAACAGGAAATTTAACTACTCCCCTTGATTTTTTTGGAGCTGTTTTTCACGGAAGATCTGTATGCATTGATTGTGGATCAAAGCAAATTATATGCACAACAATTTATCACCGCCAACCCAAATTCAAACCTTGCCAGACCATTCGCATGAAACCCCATTACAGTTTCTGAATTTCAATTTTTTTTGGGCCTAACCCTCAACACGGGCATTACTAAAAAAAATGAATTGCGGTTGTTTTGGTCCACAGACCCGAATCATCATATGCCCGTGTTCTCTGCCGCCATGACCAGGCATAGATATGAGAGTATAATGTGTTTTATGCATTTCAATGACAACACACTCTGTTGGGGTGACCCAGAATTTGACTGGTTCCACAAAATTCGGCCCCTCGTAAATCACCTTAACCAAAAATTTGCAGCAATCTATACTCCCCAGCAAAACATTTGCGTTGATGAGTCCCTCATTCATTTTTCTGGTCGCCTTGTATTAAAACAATTTCTCCCCAGCAAGCGTGCTAGATATGGGGTCAAGATATATAAGACCTGTGAGAGGGCAACAGGCTATACTTATAAATTTCGGATTTTACGAGGGAAAAGATAGTCACGTAGAGCCCCCTGGATGCCCAGCCTACATGGGGAGCAGTGGCAAGATAGTTTGGGACTTGGTGTCATCCTTTTTCCATGTAGGGTACCACTTATACGTGGACAATTTTTATTCAAGCGTGCCACTACTTAGACATTTGTACAATCTTAGAATTGGCGCATGTGGCACCGTGCGACCTAATGTGTGCCCACCATTAGAAGTGGGTGGATGCAGGGAGGTATATTCTAATGGTGGGCATACCACACACTTTTTCTGGCAGATATTTCCACTCTTTTTTTCATTCTGACCACAGGCTGCAAAAAAAAAAGAACATAGCATATACACCCAACAAGGACCAGCGATGTACTGGTACATCACTGGACTTTGGTTATACCAAGATGATGCCTACAGCTGCAGGCATCATCCTGGTATGGTTTTTTTCAGCCGGCGATCGACTTTCATGTAAAAGCATTCCTAGTGGCTAATTAGCTGCATGATTGCTTTTACAAGCAGTGGGAGATGATGCCCTCCCCCGCTGCCTTCCACGGCCTTCTTGGGCAGTCCTGTGCCATCAGGGGAACCTGAGAATGCAGCCGGTGTTGCTGCCAGCTGACCATAGAGCTGATTGGAGACCGGAATGGTGCCAATCATCTCTATAGTCAAGCATTTCATCACATTTTTGCAGGATATAAGCAGCGCCATTTGTAAATTGGGAAAGCATCTGATCACACCGATCTTGGTTTGATTAGATAATGTAAGGGCAGAGGAGATATCTAGAGTCTGATAGACCCCAGATTTCTCAAAAATCAATATATGACAATGCCCATTGAAGTTATAGGGGATATTTGCATTCCCTTTGATAGTATTAAAAGATAGCCCCCCCCCCCCCTTCCCCCTCGCACATGTGCGCAGTGACCCTGTGCCGGTATGTAAACAGCGATTGCACCATGCATGTGAGGTATCGCGGGGAACATCAGATCAAGGGCAGGAATTCTAACACTAGACCTCCTCTGTAAATCTAAAATGGTAGCTTGTAAAGGCTGTTAAAGCGTTGCCTATGGATATTAAAAATGTGTGCAGTTTGTCGCCATTGCACGGGGCATGCGTAGTTTTAAAGAATGTCATGTTTGGTATCTATTTACTCTGGATACCATCATCTTTTATAATTTATTAAATAATTGGGCAATATATTGTGTTTTTTGTTCATTAACCTCCCTGGCGGTATTCCCAAGTGTAGCTCGGGGTAAAGTTTCAGTACCAAAAGCGGTAACCCCGAGCTACACTCGGGCTTACCATGCGGCGTTGTACAGGGATTCCCTACAGCACTTACCTTGTCCTTCGCTCCTGCGATGCGTCCCCTGCAGCGTCCCCGGCCATCTCCTCCGGCCGCTGCCGGCATCTGGCTTCCATGTTCCGGTCCCTGTGACGTCAGGACGTACGGGCGCTGGAACCGGCGGCAAATTTGAAAATTAAAAAAAAAAGACAATTTTTAAAAAAACGATTATTTCATAACAAAACATTCCTGTATCAAAGCATTTCACATACATTTTGTCCCTACTGCTTTGTCCTGTGCCCTGCCTGCATTTTAACTGTTCTTTCTGCCTGGAAACTTAGAAAAGTCTACAGCGTCCAAAAAGCGTCCCTTTAGTTCAAAATCGGTTTTAGACCGGCTAGAGAACAGCGATAGTAAATTAGAACTACTTGCAGAATTGAGTGATAATGATTCGTGGGGAAATTCGTCATCAGACATTGAAAACGATTTTGCGGCTTTGCTCAGTGATGTGCGAACTTGGCGCTATATTTCAAATTTCAGTATTTTTTGGTTTGATTATATTATTGAATTAAATTATTATTATTATATTATTTTTTATGAGTATTTATTCCATTATAATTTATGATTTCGTGTTTCAAGTTTTATCATATCCGGAATATTTACTAGACTCTTGTTCGGACAGATTTCAGGGAGTTATTCCTAAATTACAGGCCTACAATAAAAAAAAATACATATTTCCATGCAAAAAAATGGTACCGCTTTTGGTACAAAATTCCTGACATAATCATACCGCCAGGGAGGTTAAAAGTAAAAATAGTGTATTATTTTTCAAAATATTTGAGTACTATGGTGACATAAATTGCAGCACCCACCATTTTATTCACTAGGGTGTCTGCTTTAAAAAAAAAATATATAATATTTGGGGGTTCAAAGTAATTTCCTAGCAAAAAATACAGATTTTTTTCATGTGCACAAAAAGTGTCAGAAAAGGCTTGGTCTTTAGGTGGTTAGAGAATGATGTGTGGCATAAACTTCTAATGCTAGGCATAAAATGCCCCACCCCCCAAAATGATCCCCTTTTTGAAAAGTAGTCACCCCAAACTATTTGCTGAGAGGCATGTTGAGTCATATATAATAATTTATTTTTTACCACAAGTTTTTGGAAAATGACAATTTTAAATTTTTTCACACAAAATTGTCACTTAAATGATTTAGTGCTCACACATGCCATGGGTATATGTGGAATTACTCCCCAAAATGCATTCTGCTACTTCTCCTAAGTATGGGGGTACCACATGCAAGAGACTTTTTGGCAGTCTAGCCAAGTACAGGACCCAAAAACCAATAAGCACCTTCAGGCTTTTAAAGGGCTTTATTTTCCCATTACATTTCCTGACTACCTATCACAGTTTCAGAATCCCTGAAATGCCAGGATAGCACCAACCCCTCCCCCCCCCCCATGACCCCGTTTTGGAAAGTAGACACCCCAAGGAATTTGATAAGCATGGTGAGTATTTTGCAGATCTCGTTTGTTGAAAATGAAGAAAGAAAAAAAAAAAAAAACATATCTTTTTTCTTTTTTTTTTCTATTTCAAAACCTTGTGAGAAAAAAATTATATCTGCAAAATACTCACCATGCCTCTTTTTATATTCCTTGGGGGTGTCTACTTTCCAAAAAGGGGTCATTTTGGGGGTTTGGTGCTCTTCTGGCATTTCAGGGCCTCCAAAACTGTGATCGGTACTGGGGAAGTGAAATGAGGAAGTTACGCACCTTCAGGCTTTGAGGTCATGTTATTTCCGAACAAGAGTCTAGTAAACATCCCCGGTATGTTAAAATTTGAAACCCGAAATCATAAATTATAATTTAATAATCATAAAAAAATAATAATATAGTAATAATTTTAATTCAATAATATAATCAAACCAAAAACACTGAAATTTGAAATATAGCGCCAAGTTCGCACATCACTGAGCTCAGTCGCAAAATCATTTTCAGTGTCTGACGAATTTCCCCACGAATCATCACTCAATTCTGCAAGTAGTTCTAATTTACTATCACTTTTCTCTAGCTGGTCTAAAACCGCTTTTGACCTAAAGGGACGCTTTTTGGACGCCATGGACTTCTCTGTTTCCAGGCAGAAAGAACGGTAAAAATGCAGGCAGGGCACAGGACAAAGTACTAGGGACAAAATGTATGTGGAATGGTTTGATACAGTAATGTTTTACTATGTGATTTTAGTGTATTGAGTGTCACTTTCTCACATTTTTAAATTTCCCGCCGTTCCGTTCCCCGTACGTCCTGACGTCACAGGGAACGGAACCCAGAAGACGGATGCCGGATGCCGGAGGAGATAGCCGAGGACGCTGCAGGGGGGACATCGCGGGAGCGAAGGACAAGGTAAGTGAAGAAGAGATCCCGGAGCAACGCTGCAGGGTATTCCCGAGTGTAGCTCGGAGTTACCGTTTGTGGTGCTGAAACTTTACCCCAAGCTACACTCGGGAATACCGCCAGGGAGGTTAAACTAGTGCAGTACTGTATAGCAAAAAATGGCATAAACTGCAGTATCTATACCATAGTTTGTAGATGCTGTAACTTTCACACAAAGCAATCAATATACACTTATTGGGATTTTCTTTTACCAAAAACATGTAGCAGAATACATTTTGGCCTAAATTTATGACTAGCTTTTATAGCGCAACAGTGACATTACCAAGAACTGGACGTCCCTCCAAAATTAATGAAAAGACGAGAAGAAAACTGATCTGGGAGGCTGCCAAGAGGCCTACAGCAACATTAAAGGAGCTGCAGGAATATCTGGCAAGTACTGGCTGTGTGGTACATGTGACAACAATCTCCCGTATTTTTCATATGTCTGGGCTATGGGGTAAAGTGGCAAGACTGAAGTCTTTTTCTTATGAAGAAAAACATCCAAGCTCGGCTAAATTTTGCAAAAACACATCTGAAGTCTCCCAAAAGCATGTGGGAAAATGTAATATGGTCTGATGAAACCAAGGTTGAACTTTTCGGCCATAATTCCAAAAGATATGTTTGGTGCAAAAACAACACTGCACATCACCAATAACACCATACCCACAGTGAAGCATGGTGGTGGCAGCGTCATGCTTTGAGGCTGTTTTTCTTTAGTTGGAACTGGGGCCTTAGTCAAGGTAGAGGGAATTATGAACAGTTCCAAATACCAGTCAATATTGCCACAAAACCTTCAGGCTTCATCCAAATCAACAAAGGAATGGCTTCACCAGAAGAAGATTAACATTTTGGAATGGCCCATCCAGAGCCCAGACCTGAATCGGATTAAGAATCTGTGGGTTGATGTGAAGAGGGCTGTGCACAGGAGATGCCATCGCAATCTGACAGATTTGGAGTGTTTTTGCAAGGAAGAGTGGGCAAATATTGCTAAGTCAAGATGTGCCGTGCTGATAGACTCATACCCAAAAAGACCGAGTGCTGGAATAAAATCAAAAGGTGCTTCAATAAAGTAGTAGATTAAGGGTGTGCACACTTATGCAACCATATTATTTTTACTTCCCTCCACCTAAAAGGTTTCAGTTGTTCAACTGAGTTCTACAGTTTATAGGTCACATTAAAGGTGGAAAAAGTTCTGAAATTATTTATCTTTGGTTATATTTTTTTACATCACAGAAACCTGACATTTTAACAGGGGTGTGTAGACTTTTTATATCCACTGTACCGTTACGGATCCTGTTTGTCAAATCTTCACTGTCAAAAAGTGCCCCAAGCATTGCTGCCATCTGACAATACCATGTTTATAAGCGTGTCTCATACTATATGCCCATGGTCTATCCTGCCAGCCTCTACATTACTACTGTGTTCTGTAATTCAGATACCTGTATTTTCACTAGTTGTATTTCCAACATTTCATGATTTATTAATAAATACTGAACTATATTATTGTGACTTTTATACCTGACTTGTGTTGAGCTTTAGGCTGCTTTCACGCTGAGGAGTTTTTGAAGCACTTTTGCAATAAAAAAGTGCAAGTATCGCTGAATAAAAATGCTTCTCTATGTATGTCTTCACACTGGTCCATTGCGCTTCTGTTGTGGTGTAAAAAATCCTGCTGCCGCATTTGCAGGGCATATTTCGTCAGTTAAAATAAACACGCCAAAAATGCACCACCTCATTGAAATGCATTGAAATTGTGGCAAAAAATGCACCTGTGTTGTGTATTTGATACAGTCTTTGAGTCACATGTCCTGTGAAAAACCACAATTGTGGTAAACTCGCTGCAAAAATGCATATGCGTTTTTAACGTATTTTTGCAACGGTTCAATGTGAAAGTGACCTTAATGAAGAATAATCCACAGCACAGTGCTGATAAGACTGGCCCTGTGGCAGATTTGTTACATTTGTAATGATATTTTTTCATTTCACAGAAGGTGTCAAAACCGAAGAGGTAGCAGGGAAGTGATACGCTACAATGGATCTGTCTTCACTGGTTAACAAACTTGGTAATGCTTTGAATATAACTTATTCTTCATTGTAGATTGAATTAAACTTCTGGGTTTTTTTTTCCCCCGTCTATTTTAAAGTAGAATGCGAATTCTTGGGAGAGACTTTAGGTTATGTAAACTGAAAGAATAAGAGGACAATGCCAACCTGACAGAGTTCAGAGGGGTTGATGTCAGCAGATGCAGAATTGGTACCCAGATGGAGTGGCCAGATGCCGGCTGCCTGTACAAACAGGGACACATTTTAAGTGCTGTTTTAGCTTTATAGACAAGCAAAAGTTCAAAGCCAGCTTAATAATGTACATACTATTATTCCTATTCTACCGACTGATCAAACCAAGCTCTATTCTTATCCAATGTCCCGTCAATTTATTCCATTCAGTGGTGTTTTCATTAAAATGTATTTAAGCCCTCACCTTGTAAAACAACCAATACATTTTAAAATTGAACTGGAAGATAAAACATTAGTATATAGGTATAAAAAAATCATTATAAACACTTTTTTTTTTTTCTTTTTACTTTTTTTTAAGCAATCATATACCTGTGTTCTCAGGTGGGGGTGGAGAAACAGCAACACATTGGAATTCCCAGTGAATGACTGGGGGGGGGGGGGGTGTATCATCACAAGTCTGATCATTGGAGGAGAGCAGGATGAGTTCTCAACACAGCTAAAGAACTAACCGCTGTGCTCTCATGCCTGGTGTGGTCAGTTTTTGATAGAAAAGCAGAGGGACTGGCAGAAGCACCAGGGATTTCACACAAAGGAAGCAATGCAAAGAGAACAGGATACGTTTTGATACAAGAACTTGTTATAGCAGGCATATATCAGGAATATGAAATATTGGGTTTACATATTCTTTAAAGAGTTCTCACTTCAATTTATTTCCAATGCTCTGTCCCCCAGGGGACAATGTACATGTCCTACTTTTTGTTGTATTCCTAGGGCTTGGTTCCCATTAGTATGGGTGGAAGCTGCTGCGGGACCTGCACTTTGTCCTGCAACTGCAACCACCCGCACACAAAACGTTGAGACCCATGGGTGGGTTCCTTTAATCTCAATGGCACACCGTCCACACTGGAGGTCACCCCCACACTGTAGTGCGGTTCCCAATTCCGGCTGTGATTTCTGGAAAGGTGTAGGGACCTTTTCCCTGTGTTTTGGGAGGCACAGCAGCCCATTCTAATGATTGGGCTGTTGTGTCGCGTCCCTTAAACAGCACTAATGTGAACTCAAGGATAGGTTGCCACCACTCCACTCACAGTTGTCGGACAATGTAGCTATCAAGGAGAAGCCTGCTTGATGAGCCATAACTCCAGAGATCCTACTGAAGTCTAGTGCAACTCATTACATTTGACGCTTTGTATTGTGTTTGGAGATTATCAAATATGCAGTTTAGAACCTCTCAGATTTTTTTTTTTTTACCTGTTTATTGTACTCTACACATCCACTGCATCAACTGTGTCCACCTGAGTTTAGACAGAGGGGTAAGACCTGCCCGGCTATGATGTATTGATAAGCAAGAATGACCAAGAATGAAGTCTGTCACCCATTTCCCTACATGTTTGGATGATATGGGTTTAGCTTTCAATATCAGTTGTATTTGTACCCATTACAGAGGGGGTTATGTTCTGTTTTTATGGAATGACAATTCATGGTGGAAACTGTTCCCGTTATTTTGTTGACATAAAATTTGCTATTACTTTTTAGGTCACCAACTTGTAGAGATTCGAGAAAGAGCTCTTAAGAACATACTATGTAAACTGGACCATAATCTTATAGCTGTTGTGGACCTTGTCCAAGAGAAGTCTTTATTTGTACATCTTCTCGAATGGTTCAATTTTCCTGCTGTTCCAATGAAGGAGGAAGTTCTTCAGCTTCTACAAAAGTTAATTAAGGTATGTAATCTGGTACTGTGCTTGTGATTTGGTGCAACAAGATAGCTTTATACTGGTAGAAATGTACACGTGTATATATAGTAATGGAAGCAAAGGGAAAGCCAGTGTAGATATAACTGGCACTGGGAGGGCTAGTTTTGACATGGAAATTAAGCCCAACAGTCTAGAGCAGGTAGCTTTTTAGAGTAGGGCAATTGAGGCCAGGTGTATTTGACCCAAAAATACAAGAGACTGCACTCCGACAGAGGTCCTGTTCAAGGAGGTGCCATGAAAGGGGCATGGCAGTAGAGAACACTAGGAGTGGAGTTCGGGCTGGTCTGTGTCTAAACAGCCTGGAGATCTAAAGCTAGCCATACATGGTTCGAAATTTGGCTGGTTCAGCAGGTCAGGTTGGCTGTTTGAAAGTCGATCTACTGTTCAAAAACCAATCAGCCTGTCAGATTTTCCTTGGTCGATCAGCCGGCGCGCTGATCAGTATATTCTGGCAGTGGGGAAGATTCCCCACCATTAGAATAAAAAAGCTCAATAGCTCAGTGGGGAGGATTCCCCATCCTCAAATTTGAGGTTCAACCTAATGGTTGAAAAAAATTACTCCTCTATGGGCTGCTTTACTAAGAGAACACGGTCAGGGCTGTGGCAGGGACTGGAGAAGCTTTGCCTGACTTAAGACAGCAGAGAACTCTGTCTGATAGCCAGGAGGCTGTTAATTACTTGTTGCCTGTTGTGATTAGCTTGATATATCCCTTTTGCATTGGAATAAATTCTGTTAATCTCTGTTTTGAGTATTAAAGTGGGCAAGAAGCCCTGAAATGCACTGAGTCTTTTGAAATGCTTTTCTTTTGATGCAGATCCCGAGAACATATGTTTGATTTAAAACACTTAAAACTAAATTAGCATGACATAATTTGAAAATAAGCACCAGAAAATGTTTTTGTTGTTTAGCCAAGCAAATATTACAAGGTGTGAAAAATAAAGGTGTTGCATAAATAGACAATAGACGTCACGAATAAAAATAGTTCTGTGAAAAACCTCACTCATCTGTATCAGTCAAAACATATCATATCAAATATAATATGTGACATGAGCATATAATTAAATTCATTTTCCAGATTAATTAACACTTTTAGTGGACCTGTCACCATGCATTTTCATTTTATTAACTCAATGATACTGTTCATCTACAAACAATGTAATAGATGCTTACCATCTGTCCTGTAAATCATGATGATCAAATTACTATTAGAAATTGTATGTGTATTATTATTTAAAGTGAAATTCCAGGTAAAGGGCTAAACACTGTACGTGGTTGAAAGACCAGGCACTCATGTAACACGCACCTCTCCTTGTCAGTAAGATCACTCTGCCAATTCCTGGTTTAGCATCGCTGCTTATTCACATAGGCAAACGGTGTTTACCTAGGATCTTGGTGGCAGCAAATTGGTGTGTTAAAACTGTCTATAGTGCAACTCATACAGACCTACACAAGCTTTTGTCCGTATGAGCTGTGGTGTGTTCAGGCAGCTTGTATGACCCATTTACATCTCCCCTGCCTAGAGAAGGCAACCAATGCAGCCTTCACTAGATGACAACGGGACAACATGTGCACAATGGCATGTAATCAGAGGTGGCACCCACTGATTACGCACTATTATGTCCAAACTGAATGTGTCCTACATGCATCAGTGGTGCATGCGCAGAATGACCTAAGCCGATCCTGAATGACTGAAGGCTAAGGTCATCCTGCGCATGTGCCACATGGATGACTCACTCTGGGCTGACATGAAAAAATGAATTGGGTGTAATTGACTCCACTTGCTGCACAATGTTAAAGTTTAAATGTTGGCCCTGAACAGCAACAGCAGTGGTCAGTAGGATTCATGGACGCTGTACGCATGTAAACGTTAGCACAAAAGTTTATATGCAGACAGCATCATATATGGCAGAAATTACAGCTCAGGAGTCTGCTCTGCGGTGACTGTCCTGCTCTGAAAAGCGGGTCACAGGAGAGCAGAACGAACTGCACTTCTGTGATCCACAGGAGTAAAGCCAAAAGAGCTTTGGCTGTACTACTTAGGGGAAAAAAAAAAAAAAAAAAAAAATATATATATATATATACTTAGGGAAAAAAAAAAAAATATATATATGTGTATGTATGTACCAGGGTTAAACAAAAACTGGAAACACTACATGATTTGCAGGTGTGAAGGTGATAACATGTTTCACATTGACAGCAACAGTGATGCAACATTCTTGCTGTGTGATGAGACACCTAGCCTAATGGGAAGCCTCGCTCAAAGCCAATTTATGTGGAGTGACGCTAGGTACAGTATCAAAGGTTATGATGGCATATACAGTTTCCGGGTAAACGTCATCTGATAAGCTTATGCATGCTTGACATGGTCAACTGACCGAAAAATACAAAAGGACATTGCACAGGATTGTGACCCAGAATAAGAAAACAACTGCAAAAGTGACTGCAGAGCTCAATCTCAGTCCCGTGAAGACTTTCCTGCTGTACACCCCACTGAATTTTTCCCAATTACAAGAAATCTATTGAAGTCTACAGTCACCTTTGGAAGTGTTGATCTCCCTGGTTTACTGCAGCACTCACTGGTTCCTTCTGCTGACCTATACATCAGTACCATCTCCTGTAGTGACATGGGGATCAGCAAGGGAAGCAAGGCAAATTGACACTCCCAGAAGTGTCAGTTTCTCTGTAGACGTCAAAAGGGATTTCCTCATGATTAAAGTGGATTTTTAATAATAACAGGGTTGCTTTAATGATATTTTAATGATCGCTTGCCTGCGCGAATTGCTGTGTGTTTTTTTTTTTTTTTCCAGAGTCCATCTTTAACAATGCAGCTCAACAGGGTAAAGACTTCCATAGGCTATGTGATTTTCTTTCCTGCAACCATGGATTGCAGCAAAGAAAATCACTTGATTTCCCCAATTAACACAGTGAATGTTGATGGGGAATCTTTCCAGTGGAGCTATTGTGTTCTCCCCACGGTGGGGAGCCGTCCCTGCCAGGAGAACACAGTGATTATTTCTAGTGACTATAGCTGTTGGCAATAATTGCATGTATGATCCGACAGGTTCGTTGACGAATTGCTTTGTTTTTAAAAAGGAACTACATTGCTTCTGAGCACCACAAACCAAAAAAGCTATATAATTCATTTTAATATCACGCCCTAACAATTCTAGATGTGGCCATCTGGAATAATGGAAGATGATGTAGCATTCACTTCCTGGAATCCATCTGCCCTTTGCTCAGACATGCAAGTAGGAAAGTGTGCTTCGTTAAGAAAACCCTTCCTTCCTCTGGAAGACTCCTGGGATGTATGACATCATTTGCTTAGGCATAGAAACCAGGAAGTAACTGAAGAAATAAAAAAAGAAATGTTTAAAGCAAGCAAATATGATATACTTTCCTATCCATTTACTAATGATAGTAACATTAGGATTAAAAATAGTCAGTGTTGATTGACAGTGAAATTCCACTTTTGTCTTTCTCTGCTTTTCATTGTTGGTAAACAGAGACAGTTTGCTACCTGTAATGACCTCTAAACAGAATGTGTTTTCTTTATTTCTTATGTCCACCCTTTTTTTTTTTTTTTCAGCATTCCTTAGCAGCTCAGTGGCTACTTGATATGGGTGCCGTAGACTTCTTTTCTCAGCTTCGGCCAAACATTGAACCAAACCTTCAAGTTTTCGTGGATAGCATTTTGGATGGTCTTTTCCTTCTTCCAGCAGAAAGCCCCTTTGGGCCTCTGCCTTCATTGGAGGACAAATCCTGGCAAGGACAAGACTATGCAGGTAGCTATTAGGAATTTTCACATTAGAAATTAATGTATTGCCCCGTTTTTTCATTATAACATTTTAAACTAATACTGATCATTTATTTTCTAATAGTTACTATTCAAAAGAAAGTAATATAAACTTGATTTTAACATATATAGCATTATTTATACTTAAGTGTATGGCAAAACAAAAAAAAAAAACACATATTCAGTACATTGCTGTGTAATGCATGCACATTTCCCATGATTTATCCCTATAACCACTTGCCATCCACAGGCCATAAAAAAACAGCCATGTGCTTGTTATCATTTTTTCAACTGGTTCCTTGCTTTTAAGTATACGTTATCAGGCAGTCTGTGCAAACTGATCACTGTTACTGCACTGTTAAGGTATCATCAGTAGCCAGCCAAGGTTCTTAGGCTCTCCTGTATCTGTGGAGCTCAGGACCACTTTCAACTGTGTCAGGATGGAGAACTGGAAGAGTCGGGGAACATCTTTACCTCCAGTTGTCTTCCAGGACAGCCCCTGAGATAATGCTCTAAGGGAGAGGGAAAACAAGCGCCAGCTAGGTGTAGTATTAACCAGTTCCTTACCGCACTATTGCTGAAGGACGGCTACAGCACGGTTGTCTGGTTCTGGGATGACATCCATGGATGTCATTCCAGAACGCGCCCCCCCAGTGGCACGCACCCGGCACCGTCAGTGATTGCTGTGTCCTATGTACACGGCTGATCATGGGATACGGTCAACGGCCAATCACGGCAGCCTTTTACCACGTCATCAGCTGTGTCCAATGACACAGCAGATCACCGGATAAATACAGTTGCCGGTTATCGGCTGCACTTTCCTCACGCTGTCACAGCATGTGAGGAAAGTACTGCAGAGAACCGGAAATTGTCAGCGAAGGGATCGGCACTGATCATCAGGGCACTGATGATCAGTGTGCTGATGATCAGTGCCCAGCAGTACTGCCTAGCAGTGCCACCCACCTGTGCCTGTCAGTGCCGCCCACCTGTGCCTGTCAGTGCCGCCCACCTGTGCCCGTCAGTGCCTACCACCTGTGTCCATAAGTGCAACCCACCTGTGCCACCCATCAGTGCTGCCCATCAGTGCAACATCATCAGTGTCAGCTCATCAGGGCCGCCTATCAATGCTGCCTATCAGTGCCCATCAGTGCTGCCTTTCAGTGCAACCTCATCAACGCACATCAGTGAAGGAGAAAAATTACTTGTTTGCAAAATTTCATTATAGGAACAAAAACTTTTTTTTTGCTTTTTTTTGTTTATAGCGCAAAAAATAAAACACCCAGTGGCAATTAAATAACACAAAAAGAAAGCTCTATTTGTGTGAAAAAAAATGATAAAAATTTCATATGGGTACAGTGTCGCATGACCGCGCAATTGTCATTCAAGGTGCGACAGCACTGAAAGCTGAAAATTGGGCTGGGCAGGAAGGGGGTTTAAGTGCCCTGTAGGCAAGTGGTTAATATTAATAATCAAAAATAATTGCACTCACAATGAAGGAATTGGTCAAGGCATGTGTAACAATAAGGGTTGACATCAGTGCTGGTCCTGGACTGAAGGAGTTGGAGGCTGTGAACCAGCTGGCAGGATGTTCTGGAGGCTCCCAGGGCTTCCTGGTCGGCATGGAACGCAGGCGGAAGCGACGGCACAACCGGAACTGACGATCAAAGATGGTGTCAGTTCCGGTTGTGACGTCACTTCCGCCTGCCGTGCTGCGTTCCAAAAAAGTGCTCAGTTTGTTTATTTTTTATGAAATATAGTTCCTCCCTGAGGGCAGGAAACACATTGCCTTTAATATAAAAGAAGGACCTCCTGGCTTCTCCCTCAGTTAATTTGTTTCCTCCAGCCGGAGGGAATGCATTACCTTATTTGTTTTTAGGAACCCCTTTTTTAAGGAGGACCAAAGCTCGGGTGACCGAGAAGTGATTGGACCTGGGGCAGGTTATTGTGTGTATCTCCTCACTTCCTCCTATGGGCTGGCAGACAACCTTCTTAGGGAAGAAGCGTTCTGCAAAGCAATCTTCCCTGGGTACCTGGAGAGGGTATTGGCGGTCGATGCAGCGGGAGATCTGGTGCGATCCGCCTAAGCTGCCGGAGGCTCTTGCGGCTGTGTCTGTGACTGGAACTGACGTCACTTCTGGCGGATGTGCCTCATCACTAAGCGCAGAGGTTGCTGGTTTTTGACCTCATGGGTGCGGGGGGAAGGGGCGGGGCTGTGACTGGTGTCCACGTTTTCTTAAGCCACAGCAGAAGCAGAGCTGCATAGGTGGAAAGAGGGGCAGGAAGTCATGGAGGCGGTCTCTCAAGCTCCGGGAGAATCGGGCGCCGACTCCAGCCAGGTAAAGACAGTACAGTGTGCTGTTTTTACCTTACATCTAGAGTGGTGGGCTGCTGTATGGTGTTGGTATCAGTTTCTTGGTATGGCATGCTTGGGCAGAGATAAGAGCTCTAGTCCAGGTAGCAGGGCCATTAAGAAAATGGTTTTGTCTAACCTTTTAGGAAAGACCTTTGGACAAGGGGAAGACACCAGCCATAAAGAAAAAATGTGTAACCTGCACTACAAAATTAAATTAATCTTGGAACAAGCCATTATGCCACAGCTGTATTAACAACCTAGTAAAGGATGAATCTGCTTTGACTTGCAACAATCTGCTTACCACAGTTAAAGAATTAGCTGTAACTTTTCACACCTCTAGAACCTTAGTATCTGATGTGAAAAGGCCATCCCCTAAGGTATCAACCTCCCAGGTTGTGGCTTCCTCTGTCAGGGCTCTCAGGGGAGCATGTAAGAATGGAACAAGACAAAGTGGAAGATAATGATTCAGATGGCTCCCTTTCTGAATCTAACTTGGACCAAGATCCAAGAGAAGGTACGTCTAGTTCTCAAAGGTACATATTGTCATTGGAGGAAGTAGACAAGCACCTTAGAGCCATTTATGATACTCTGGAAATGGAAGAGGAAAAGATACAGTCGACTAAGCATGATTTGATGTATAGAGGCCTTCAAAAGAAGAAATCAAGGGTTATCCCAGTCCACCAGATCCTTTCTGAAGCCATTTTAAAGGAAATCATTTTTCTCAAATTCTCTTAAGAAAAGGTTCCCCTTTGATGAAGATCCAGCTGAAGTTTAGAATAAGCTTCTAAGTAACCAAAAAAATATGATTTAGCATTTGAAGATATGGGCACCTTGAAATATCCCATGGATAAAAGAAGGAGATGTCCTCCTAAAGAGAGCCTGGGTTGCGGCGATGGCAGGTCTGAAGCCAGCTCTAGCCACTACCTGTGTGGCGCAAAACTTGGAATTTTGGCTTTCTCAGCTCAAAGGTCATCTAGAAGCAGGCAACCACAGGTAGCAACTTCTGGATTCTCTTCCTATGCTCTTCACAGCTGTAAGCTACATGGCATATGCCTCTACAGAAGCAGTGAGGATTTCAGCTAAAACATCTGCTCGTAGGCCATTGTGGCTCAAAACATGGGCTGGAGATGTCTTCAAAATTATGTCTATGCAGCTTTACCTTTTACAGGGGATCTTCTTTTTGGCACAGGCCTCCAAGATGCATTGGAACAGACAGCAGATAGGAAGAAAAGTTTCCCAGAAGGGAAGGAAAAGCCTTATTGGAAGACTTTTTTTTTTTTGGGGGGGCCAAGCATGTCAACAGACCAACAATAAGAAAAGACCAAAGAAACATTGGTCAGGCCAAAAGGAGAAAGGTAGGTCAGGAATCCTTTTCAATCCTCCTGACACATACACCAAGTCACAATGACTACAGCAACGTGAGAGGAAGGCTCCAGCATTACACGATGTCAAAAAATAACCTCAAACTCTTTCATTTTGGAATGAATAGAGGTTACAAGCTAGAGTTCTACCACTGTCCTCCTTTAAAGTTACTGATAAATTTACCACAAGATCTGGAAAGAGCAAGAGCCTTACCTGCCTTAATAGGAGAACTGGTGGAACAGTAAGTGTGAATGCAAGTTCCAGAGAGAAAAAGAAGGGGGTTTTATTCACATGTGTTTGTGATATAAAATCCTTCAGGAAAATTTTGGTTAATCGTAAACCTCCGACCCCTAAAGCAAGCCATAAAGTACAAGAAATTCAGAACGGGTCAATTTTTTTGATACGAGCCCTTCTACAACCCAATTGCTTCATGGCAACTATGGACCTCCAAGATGCTTACTTGCATATTCCAATCCACAAAGGATCCCAAACAATTATTTGCATTGTGCTAAGGCTAAGGCATTTTCAATGCAGAGCCTTGCCTTTTTTGGTCTTTCCTCTGCTTCGAGATTTTTTTCCCAAAGTATTGCCAGAAGCCCTAGCCCCTTTCCATCTGCAGGGGGTGATGATAATCCCATGTCTGGACAATCTTTTACTAACAGCAGCAACAGAAGAACAGCTGAAAAAGAACATCCTAGTGGCCCATCATTGGCTAAAAAAGTTAGGTTGGAAAATAAATTTGAAGAAATCCAATCTAATTCCCTCCCAGAAGATACTGTTTCTAGGATATATTCTGGAATCCACTTCGCAGAAGGTGTTCTTGCCAACAGACAAGATGCACAGAATATCCAATCTGGTATCACAGATCCAGAACAATCAGCCAGTAACCTTCAGGAGGGTAATGTCCATTTTAAGATTAATGACATCTACCTTTCCTGCAGTATAATGGGCCAGAGAACATCAGTGCCCTCTGCAGAAATGGCTACTTCAGCACTGGGATGTCCGGATAGAATAATTAGATTCACAACTCCTCATTCCTCAGAGAGTGAAAAGGACCTAATGGTGGTGGAAGACCAACAAAAACCTGGAAGAAGGCTTAGTGTAGAGATTTCCAATCTCTATGAGCATTATGACATCTGGGGTGCCCACTTGAAGTGTGAAGTAAAACAACAAGAAGCGCACCAACCTTGCGCATTAACTCAGTAACCAAAATTTATTTAGTAAAAGAATGGTACTCACAAACAGCGAATAAAAATAGGCATGTAAGTCCTCCA